CCCCTCCCGTCAGAGCCAGCCGGTGGGCAGGAGCTGGTTACACATAAACAGAGAGTTGGGGTGGGGGGGTGACAGCCGGCGGGGGGCTTGAGGAAATTTTCCTTTTCTTGTGGCTGCCGCTGCAGTTGCCTCTTTGAAGGGAGGAGAGGCTGTGGGCGGACTCTCCTCTGCAAAAAAAAAAAAAAGAAAGAAAGAAAAAAGAAAAGGATTCCCCCGTTTCAACTCCTCCAAAGGAAAAAAAAATTGCTTCCAGAAAACATGACGCACAGTCAAGGATATTAAATCTGACACTTCAAAATATACATCCACCGCTTCTTTCAGGACTCTTCCCGGTATTTCTGTGCGCTTGCCCCGCTGAGGGGAAGGCAAGACGACAAGTCAAGCCGCAGAGCCCGGGCAGAGCTCGTCGGCTCGCAGTTTGCGCTTCCCCGGCTGGCAGACTCGAATTTTCTCGCGTTTCTGTTTTCAGGCGGGAGAACAGAAGTGTGGCACGTCGGCCCGGTTTTCGACAGACTGGAGATGTCAAGCTGACATTTTGGTCTTTAGAAGTTCGGCAGTTAGAAGCGTTTAGAAGTTGAAGAGCAGTAGGAACAGAGTCGTGCCTGTGGCTGACTGTGGTCTGAGTCTCCCGCCAAGGCCCTTTGAAGCGGGTGATGGGGTTCACTGCAGTATTAGTCTCTTAAGGAACAAAGACGTGACCAGGCAAAAAGATCCAGGATTAAATTAATAGACGAATAAAGCAAATCATTTTCCAACATAATTATCTGTTTGAAGGTGGCACAGTTGCGCAGCGGTCGGCATTGCAGCCTTGGAGCACTGGGGTTGCCGGTTCAATTCCTGGGATGCTGTCAGTGTGGAGTTTGCATGTTCTTCCCACATTGGCGTGGGTCTCCTCTGGGTGCTTCAGCGTTCTCCTACAGTCCAGAGACATGCTGGTAGGTTAATTGGCTTCTGGGAAATCTGGCTCTGGTGTGAGTGTCTCCATATTTGTATCTGTCTGCCCTGTGATGGACTGGCATCCTATCCAGAGTATACCCTGCCTTGTGCCCGTTGCATGGTGGGATATGTTCCGTCTCCCCCGCGACCTTGGACTGGAGAAAGCGGTTCGAAAATGGATGGATGGATGGATGGGTGGGTATACACCACAGAGACAAGGAAGCTCTTTGTTTACTCAAAGGGTGATGGGAGCCTTGAGCAAGCGGCCCTGATGGGTTGGCGAAGCTAAGACACTGGAGACTTTCAAACAGCTGGACGAGATCCACTGATCGATACGCAGATAGCAGTCAGACTTGTCCACAGCCCTTTCTTATCCCCCTCCAACTCAGCACTCAAGAGAGACACAAGACAGACCAGTAGCTGGCGTTTTTGCTGCCTAGGCCAGAGCTGTCAAACTCAATTCCAGGAGGGCCCACAGCCTGTTCTGGCTGCCGTTTCATACTGAGCTCCAAGTGACTTAACTGGGTCTAATTATCAGTTGATTCACTGTACAGATTAAAAGCTTCTCCCTCTCTCGGGGACACAGCTGCACAGAAAACACATTGGCGCCCTGCATCTTAAATGAATTAATTCACTACAACATCTTAACTACTGTTTGCCTGGCTGAATGAGTGTTCAATAAACTCAGAAGACACATCACTGACAGATGAACATATTTTGACAATTTTTTTAACGATAATAATAAATCAGATTCAGTACATACAGTAGGCTGCCAACAGTTATATCTGTGACTTTATGTACCGGGGCATGCTTTGAGATCCTTTTCCAAATCAGGTTGCAAAAGCCAAAAAATAATTTCTCCGGGTGGAGCGTGCGTCTCTTTCATGTTCACATTCTAAAACGGCTGAGGCTTCAAAACTATTGCGTTCTGATGGACTGAGCTCATCTCTGCTGATTTCCACAGGCCTCGGCAAACACGTGCTACCAAGACCCCTGCAACCCTCATCTTACTCCAGCTAGCTTCAAATCCTAAACGGCTGGAAGAACAGCACAAAAGTTACTCCTCTTCATCTTCTTTAAAAATGACTTATTTTTTCACCTAATTAAAACACACAACACCTTTACCTAGTTGCGAAATGTGGCTGCTTTCTACAACAGGGACAGCTTGAAAAATATGCAGCATCACATTTACAGTGGGAATTCAACTTAATCCATCTTTCTTTTCTTTTTCCTGTTGAAAAAAACCCATTAAATTAAAAAGTCCTTCCAAAAAAACCATTTTGTTTGAGACAGGGGATTATGAGCTAAACAAGAGACTGATATTTTAGGGAGAAGGACAGGGCGATCTGTGAATTGTTTTCTCCTGCATAACTCCGGTGGGTATACAATATTAATGGATCCCCAGCAGATTCCAGGAGTGACAACAGGCACAGCGAAGTACGAGACCAGATGAGCGGTATTTAGATTCGGGGAGAGCGGAGGGGGAAGGGGGTGGTTAATAATAAATAAATAATCCCAATCTGACAGCACATGGGTTTTGGGAAGGGGAGAAGGAGGGGGTGCAGGGGGATAACTGACAGCACATTTTTCTCCTGCGGTGTACCCCCACCCCAATTATATAAAGCAGAGACGTGATTTTCTCATAAAGTCTGAATCAAAGGCCGCCTCCTCTGAAAGGGGCACTTTGTGCTTGGGGAGACTCGAGAAACAAAAACTGGTTTGCCCATTTCATGTGGACTGGGGCACATTCTTTAAGGAGGTGGGAGGGGGTTGCTCTCCACGCTGGAGGAGCCGAGGAAAGCAACCAGTGGGACAGGAGAAGGAAACTCAGCTTCTGCGAGTCAGACTCCCATTGTGGGGCAGATCGATCCGCGCCGAGATTTCCGAGCTGCCTAGTCTTGTACAAGCATTAGGGATGAAGCACGATTTCCTTTGTTGCAGAAACATCGATACAAATGTACTCAAAATAAGAAAACATGCAACTGGAACTGGACCATTTAAAAGCTTAAAACAAAACCACTGAAGGGTTAAGGTACTGTATGAACACAGATATACTGAGAGGCTTTAAAAGCACAAGTCCCATTGATTCCAATACTCGTGTTGCCTTTTAATGCCTCTCTCTGCGTGTATATTATAAATGCATGCATACATTTTATATGGAACCTACAAAAAATGCTTACTTAAAAAAAAAAAGAAAAAAAAAAAACAAACCGGTCGTCCCAATCTGGTATTTCATGGTATTCAACTGACGTATTGCCCAAACCTTTAAAAAAAGCTACCCACTAAAGACTTCCTAGGAACATTTTAAAAAGGCGAGGGATTTAAAAAAAAAAAGCAGGGGGGGGGAAGCTGGAAAAGTGAACAAGAGCAGTTGGCAGAGGCCAGGCGGAGAGTGTGGTGGTTCTGAAGTTCTCCACCAAGTGGCGCCAGCGTGGACCCCAAACCTGACCAGAGTGCTTCCCAATAAAGCGAAAATTACCCCAGTGCTGGCAGGCTGCGTGCTGCCTGGGTTTCTGCAAAATGTTTATTTAATATCCTGAAGAAATTAAAATAACTCTGTGGCAGGCACAAAAAATAATATTCTCTTGATACTTGGCCAAGAAAAAAAAAATGTGCTCTCTCTCTCTCGTCCCTCTCAGATTTTATATATAATGTTCAACAGAATAGGGCAAAAAAAAAAAATTCATTACATTATAAAAAAAGGGTAAATACAAGCCGGGCAGGAAGAGGGAGATAAAACTATTTAAAACAAAAGAAGCTGCTAGTCTGTCGATTTCAAAAGGCCTTCCCGTTGTGTGTGAGTGAGAGGCTGTGTGGTGGGTTGTGGGGGGCATACTAACTTTTTATTTTAAGGTACAATGCAGAGCAGCTCTGGGGGGTCCAGACCTCTGTCTCCAGCACTGACACACATGAAAATAAAATTTAAAAACATGCAGCCAGAATGTGTTAGTTAAGCAGAGAATAATTTTACAAAAGGAACCTTCTTCCAGCCAGAACAATAGAATTTTGCACACAAAAAATAGAGAAGAGACTAAACCAATGGAAAATGCAGTGAGTCAGAGAGTGGGCCGACAACCAGTTGGTCACAATGGCACATTTCTGCTTGCTACGTTGTTTCCAGCATATTTATTACCATTACTCTTCATTAAGCTGTTAATGGAAAAAGAGGTGTCCAGCATAATGGGCTTAGAACAGCAAGCACAGACGCTAGACCCCCCACCAGGTGCGTGTTCAGTGACAAAAAGACATAGACCAACAACAAACGGGAACCTGGAAAAAATCCTGTGATCTTTTTTCAGGTGGCACAGTTAAGAGGGAGGGAGGCTGATCCTTCAGCAGAGGAGGTAGAGGTAGAGGAGAAAGGAGGCGGGTAACGGAGAGAGGCGGATCGCAGGTAGAGGAGAAAGGAGGCGGGTAACAGGGAGAGGGAGAGGAGCAGGGCCGCAGGAAGGAGGTAAAAAAAAAAAAAGCAGTAAGTTGGCTAAATCTGGGAAGCGTGTGTGTCTGGGCAAAAAGAAAAGCCGTGCTGCTTTGCCCCAGACCTCAGGGTGGAGTGAGACGGAACATGTGCACCACACATGCCAGCCTCCTTGACCAGGACCCACGCCTGGAGCAGAGTCAAAGGCCTTCCCATCACCCCGAGCGGCTCCGCGCCTTGCGGACCATAACCCCGTCGCAATTATCGACAGACACGATCCCACTGAGAAGCCTCGGTTAAGACTAAGAGCTCATTCTGTCGCCGCCGCCACTGTCACCAAAAATAACACTTGAACCGGGCTCAAAACTGCAGCAGGGCCGCGCAGCGCCGAAGGAACAAGGCTGCGTCTCCTGCCAGAACAGTTTCTGCCCTCTGCTCCCAAGCACACTAGTCCAGACAACAGCCACCGACGTCTTAACCCGCCTGAGCAGATCGGCATCTGAAAAGGAGTTTTCACATCCTTCCGGGAGACGAGCAGGAATCATTGCGTTTTCACCAGTGGCACATTGAAATAAAACCATTAACCTCCTCTCGCCCACCCATTGCCAGGCATGATTACAAAATGGGTCCCAGCCCAGGTTTGCTGCTGAAAAATATATACTTTATTAATGTTATTATCGTCATATACAAAACAATCGGATAGCGTTATAAATGCTACTTTCATTGAAATGTACGCGCCATTCAGGCACACATTCTAAACTCACAGACCAAAGAGCAAACACGCATGCTGAACGTTTCAGGGTTCAACACGCATGTGGACATGCGACACAGGGCACATCCTTCAATAACACTCTTAATCAAACCCCTCACCCCAAAGAAAGTACGCCCAAGCACAACTCGGGCACCACCTCGACGTGCTGCCTCCAGACGCAGGCTTGGCCATCCAGAAAGAAGCTGGACAGAAGCTCCACGGACAGAGATGAAGACTCCCAATGCATAGCCACCGACTCCATGTCAGGTTTTACATACTGCAGGCGCGTCTGTAAAATCCAATGATGGGAGCTGGGCTGCTCACGTTGAGCAAACTCTACAATAAGATATAATGCAGTAGAGGCTGGAAGAATGAACAGCACGTTAATACACTTGCCTACACTGATACATTGTAAATATTCTCTCAAATCCCTTCTGTCCTTTGGCATCAAGTGCTCGCGCACAAGGGCCTGCAGGTCACAAAACCCGAAACAGATCACACATCATCTACTTCCCCGTCTCTCGGAAAGCCATCAGACCTACATGTCTTGCTCACATAATCAATCCCACGTCTTAGGCAGAAGATGACTAACACTGCAGTAACCCTCCCCTGCAGTTTGTATTGCTATTCTACACACAGAAAAAAGAAACAGGGCACGCAATCCGATATCCATGTAGTCATTTTGCAGTGTAACTAATGAATACACTTCTATCTGCGTGCCAACTTAAAAATAACATCTGTGGATCTAATAAGCTGTGACAGACTGGTGTCCCATCAAGGGTGGAGTCCTGCATTGCTCCCCTGTGCTCTGGGGCTCCATCACCCTCACCAGCGATAACCGATGATGGACGGATCCGATACGGATGGCAGAAAAACAATTATTCCAGACGGGAGATCCGAGATGGATAGTACTGTGATTCACCAGTCTGACTCCTGTTCGGCAAAACCAGCCCTTACAATGACTGGGACTGAATAAATTCTTTGACTTGTGTACTCAAACTTCAATTAAAAAAAAAAAAATCATTTTATAACATTCTAAGCAAGTTATAAGGAATTTCTGGCCCCTATTGTTTCTATGAATCATCCTACTGGTATAAAGCATCCTCTAAGCAGGAACAAGGGAAGAAGGAAACATTAGCTGGAGACTCCTTAATTAAAGTATTAAATTAGAAAGTTTGATTTGTTAACGGCTGTTCCAATGAAAACGACAGAACAGTATAAAGGTCATGCTGCCCTCTTGTGGCACTTTCAAATATAACACGATCTCCCACATTCCAGTGGTAAGCGCTCCTCGTAAATTAAAGAGCGTGGCACACCAGACAACAGACATTAATGACAAACATACAAAAACGCAGTACCTCTGATTCATTGAGCAGGGACTTTCTGGTGTAGTGTAAGAAAAATATTTAGGCAGAACAAGCCCTCTGAAAGGGAAGGGTGTGATACGCTGTACCTTAGGATTACAAGGGTATTGATTGCATCTTCATGTGCTTAATATTTTAATACTAAGATCAAAGTATTTAAAAACGCTGCTGTGGTCTCCAGTATTAGGCACTGAAACCACACTCCTTTCCAGTCTGCTCAGGTCCCCATTCGCACCAGCCCTAGGATGAGCCTGGAACTGGGGTGCCAAGCTCTCCCCAACAAGGACGATCGCCTCCCCGTTCTTTGTCCTGGGTCAAAAGGTCCTCGTATCCTAAGCTAGCCCACTCCCCTCTTCCTCCTTCTCCTCCTCCCACCACGCCCAGCAGGACGGCCCAGTAACCTGAGGGCTCCGAGAGCTGGGGGGGGGGGAGGGGGACCCCCCGATATCAGTGTCCGTTCTCCTTCCCTGGGGCCTCTGGGACGGCCCTGACAGCGAAGAACCCTTCTGAAACACAAGCAGACAGACGGCCGCTCAGAAACGAACAGCAGTTTTAGAGGCTGGATTTCTCCTACGATACACATCCACTGATCCCGCCAGGAAGACGCACTAGAAGCGCCCATCTCGGCCTTCCTCGGGGAGGCCTACGCGCGCGGCTGGCTGGGGCGCTCACCCTCCGGGCCCTCGGGAAGCGTGGCCGCTGCGCCTTCGCTGTCCGACCGCAGGATGGCCCGCCTCTGGGCTCGGCACGCCGCCATCTGCTCCAGGTTCCTCATCACCGTCTCGCCGTCCCTCGTCTCCAGCTGCGGGCTGATCGCCCTCGCCAGCCTGCCCGAAAACCAGCCCGCCAAGCCCCCCCCCAACACAGCGATCAGTAACCCACTGCGGGCACGCACCGGGACCGACCAGACACAGCACCTCGATCTCCGATCGCCAAGCACGAAGACACGCGATGGCCTTTCATGCCACTGCCTGACTGGAATAAAGAATTACAAAGGAACGGAGCAAGGTTTATATTATTGTCCTCAGTCGGAGAGTTCTTTTCCCTAATTGTTTTCTCTTTTTTCTCCAGGTTCTGCCAATTAATATATTAAGCAAATGAGGCAAAAACATTTAAAAGGGGAAAACGCAGAGATCCGTGATGGTGAACAACGTTAGCTGAGAGGTGTTTTAGGGATGGGGGAAAGACGTGTGCTCTTCTGTTTTTGCCTTTAGTTTGGGTCGTTAGTGTAGAGATGGGTAGGACGCGGAAGACTTTTTTTTGGTACAGCCACGTTGTTAGGCACGACCACCATTTGTTTTTCCGGTTCTAGCTTATCAGTTTGCCTGGGTTTTGTTTTTCTTCTGGTCTTTCCCCTTCCAGGTGGAATATTAATGTGCACCTCTGCCTCCCTGTTTTTTTTGGTATAATAAAGTTGATTTGTTTTCTCGGGGAAGCCTGATCTCTCGGGCGTTCTTTTGTGTTGCGACTTTACATCTTGGCTCCCACTGATTTTTAAGGTGGGAACAGTTTAGTCCACGCTGCAGGGAATAAACCTTGCTCTGTTCCTCTGCAGCCTACACATGCTGACGCAGTTCCCTACTAGCATCAACAGCCGGCCTGTTTTTTCCCCAGTATTAAAAAATGCCATGCTCGGATCTACCTCACTCTTTCTAGTGATGTGGGGAATTTCTCTAGACTACCCGAGTTTTTGTTTCGCCTGAATACGTGGACGAGCCTCGGGCAGAAACACAGGAGCTCTGCGAGGCGGACTCACCTGTCTGGCGTGATCACACCCGTGTGGCTCACTGACCTCTTCACCTGAAAGAGCGCGACAACGAGAGTTACGGCCGTGACCGGAGCTAAGTGACCAGAGGAGAGGCCACTGAGGCTGCAAAAACTTAACAGAGCTCTAACTGGGCAACGTGCGCTTTTGCTTTGTAAGTTGAAACCTCTGCAGGTCAGCTGTTTTTCCTGTTTTCTACAGTGCACACGCCGCTCCCTGCAGAGCTCAATGACTACAGAGTAACACAGGAGCTTACAGGTGCTCTCATCTAAAAAGCAACCTGCTTTTCATTTTATTTGAATAAATTCCTTGCCTTTGCACAATGCTTTCCACCTCCTTTTCACTATTCCGAAGGGCTTTCTGTGTAGGTGGGGACGCACTTCATCCACCACACACATCGAGCAGCACAAAGCAGTCACTCTGCACCATCACCTACACTAGACAGCAGAGCCAGTGGAGAGGGCAGGAACTGCTTCATTGTGCATGAAATATTTGAACACCACACCCGAAGAAGGCTCCACAGCCGAAACGTTGCGTTTTTCTTCTCTTTTCAGCATGGAATATACCTTTACTTGTTCCTTTGCAGCCTATGCATGCTGACGCAGCTCCCTACTTGAACTATATTTTAACAACTCTGTGCTTGTACATATTCCAAGAGAATGCATAGACTTTTAGTGTTTACAGTGTCAAATGAAACAGGGTCTGCTTAAAATGCTTCGCAAAATACTGAAACTAGATTAATGGATAAGACCGTTTGCCTCCTTGAAGGACACCGATTTGTCACAGGAAGTAAGCAGACCTAAAGGTGAATCTTTTCCTTGGGTTTTTCTTAAAAGCTCAACAAACCACACTGGAACACCCTCCCTGGAGATGGTACTTGCCCGTCGCGAATGGTGCTGGCTGGGACAGACCATCATGGCGGGGGAGTCCGGAGGTGACAGGTGGCAGAGCTCAGGAGCCATGTGCTTACTGGAGATGCGCATGCAGTCTTCCAGGACGCCCACAAATTGGTTGCAGGTCTCCTTCAGCAGGGAGGACGCATCCGTCATGGTCTGGACAGGGAAAGACACCAGAGCACATGACAGCAGCCGTTTGTAGGCCATGACATTTGTAGGATCCCAGGGAAGGTAATGGCTGCTCTCTCAGTGGCAGTACAACTGGCCTGAGGAGCAGGAGACAGATTTCCATTGCACGTCCTGTGCAGAACAATCCACGTCCTGTTTGTTGAATCCTATTGAAAACTAGAGCAACTGATGCAATTCAATTGATATTCATCCCCCTCAACATTGCAGTGCTGGAAAACTGAGAGAAGACTGAGCTACAGGTTATCGGATTCCTTTCCGACACACACCAGTTCTTTCTGCCGAAGACCAGTCCCTTGTTCGACTGTGGGTTCCTAATATTTTGGCCATTGGACACACACACAAACTACATAGAAAGAAAGAACAGAGACCCATGTTAGCATATATTTGTACATTTCCTTTAGATCAATGTCCTTTAGCGTTAATCAACTTGACAGGCCTTCCCATATAAGCAGTGCAGGACCCCCACCCACTTAACAGAGAGTGTCACTGCATGTGGGAACAAGGAGTGACTTTCGTTGTGTCCGCCCAAGCCCAGCCACAGCAGTGTGCGTGCCCAAGTCCAGCCACAGGACGCCCGGAGGCCTGCGCTGTCAGTTACAGTATTTACCCAGGGCCTATCAAGTTCCACAGAACTATTCTTTTCATGATGGCCTCGGCCCAGCTGAGGAAAAACATTTAAGTGCCTTTACGAGAGAGAGGGAAATGCGAAACCACATGACGCCTCTACAAAACAATGCCACAATCGCGGCGCGAGAAAGGAAGGGGGTCGAAGAAAGTCGTCTCCTTCTTCAGGAATGTCAGAGGGGTGACATGGTGCTGGCTCACAGCTCCATTATCTAACGCAAGCTGATATCACAGCCATTGTCCTCCCCCTCTCTCCCAGGCTCGCCCTCAGTGGTACACAGGAGTGGCCCGGTAGAGCTGATAGGACTGGCCTGCCACTCTTCTTTATGCTTTCTAGAGCCTTAGATAAGATCACTTTATTAGCCACATTCGAATATTGGCATATTATAAACAAGAATATACTATTTCTTGCATTAGGAATTTGTCTTTTCGCATGCCCCAGCTTGCTCTCCCTGAGACACAGAGAAGCTTGGGGTCAGAGCGCAGGGTCAGCCATTGTACAGCACCCCTGGAACAGTTGGGGTTAAGGGCCTTGCTCAGGGGCCCAGCAGAGTAGGATTCCTCTGCCGGCCGTGGGATTTGAACCGGCAACCTTCGAGCCACAGGCGCAGATCCTTAGCCACAGTGCCACCGTTTTAGCAAAATTAACTTTCCTTCCCCTAGTTTGACTTCTTTTTTTTTTTTGAGGGGACATTGATGAGGGACCTGGAAGGGGATTGCAAGTTTTGCATTTTACCTTTTCATCCTTCACAGGTAACACAACACACCTGAAATGTACATGTTCTGTAACATTACTTTAATGGGTATCGGACGCAGAATGTTTTTGTTGGTTTAAAACAAAAATACTTATTAAAAGAGACCCTGTTGCCTGTCACGCCTTCCTTCCTTAAAGAGCAGCTCGACTCGGCTCCTCAGGGGCTGCAGTCCAACAGGTTTTGCTGGTGTCTTTAAATCTCCAGTGTCTGAACAACTTCGGTCCAGTGCAGCAAATCGGTTCAATGAGTTGATCAAGTTCTGAAGTGGAAAGAAAAGCAGAAGCCTCCTGGCCCCTCCAGGACTGGCCAGGCTGTTGAGCAATGCCACTCCCCTCATCACAGAGTCCTGGCCAGAGCCGAGACTCACGGGTCAATACCATCAGACTGCGAGAGCCCCGTCTCTTCTCCCTGCCCCTGACTTAAACCTAACATGGGGATTTGTTTTTGTGGTTTTGATAGTGAGCAACATGGAGTTAGATAAAGACAAAAACACAGCGGCAATCAATTTGCTTTTCAGGTTTTTTCCCCCCACTTTCAACTTGTTCTACAATTTGTGGCAGAGCTTTCTTAAACTGAATCCACGCCATGAGTCTTTCCTCTGGCACGGATCAGTAGTAGGTGCTACTAGAGCTCTTATCATCAGGTCATTGCTGATCAGCAGCTGGGCTTTTTAAAGACAGCGCCACTCCTGGGTTATAAAGCAATGCAAGGCAAATTGGGAAGGGCGAGTGGCGCTGGCAAGATACCTGTGTGTCTGGCAGCGTGCCTCCCTCCCCAGGCTGGACAGAGTGCTCGATCTTGTGGACCTGCTCCATCAGCAGATCACAGTACAGCCGCAGCTCGGACATCTTCCCCTTCAAGCTCTGGCTGGCCTCGTTCAGCTCTGCGCAGGGAAGACACTGACTCAGGCTTAACACGCGACTCAGAGGAGCCCACTGCCTCCTGCTGTGAAGTTGGCGGCCCTCCACACCGCCTCCCTGTATCCCACTGGCACAACCAATACTGCCTCCCCACAGATATCTTTTCTCCTCCCAGAGACGAAGCCGTCCCCCCACGCGGCTTCCCACAAGCTCATCAGCTCCGATCGGAGGCCTCACTCCTGGCCTGGCACCTCTGATAATGAGCCATTGCGGATTAGGCACCGGACACCAGTGCACACTAGTGTACAGTATGTAAGGAAGCACATTTAAAACCAAGAGCAGGAGGTTTTCCTTCGCACAGTAGGCTGTGGCAGTATGGAAAAAGCTGGCCAGCCACACTGACAAGGACATACCCTGGCTCTTTATTCAAGAGACAGCTGGATGAGATCCCTGGGGAAATGTTCCTAATGGGAAAGGTATGCAGCTGAGCTAGATGGGCCAAATGGCCTCTCTGACTATTCTTCTGACCCATCTCAGCTCTGTGTGCCCTACACAAAGCATCCCATTGCCTAACTCAGTCCACACTACAGGATTTTGGTATTTCCAGCCCATTGACTGGTTCATTTACCCAAGTGCAGAAGGTCGCTGTAATAATTACGGAGGAGCTGAGACACAGACTTGCGCTGGAGCTGAAAGGAAGAGTGCAGGTGGCCGAGCTCTGCCCGACTCCCTCGGCTGTGGCGCTCGAATACCCCGGGCTGCGCCACCGGGCTGCGGTTCCCCCGTGACCTTGCCTTTCTCCTTCTTTGTCCGGCTGTCCGCCAGGCAGGCCTTGGC